GAAGGTAAATGTGTCAACATTTCATTGAAATGTTTAGGCGGAACATGGAATAGTTGTGACGAGGTTAGATTTATTAGCAATGTTTATCCATACAGGGTAATACTGAGTAGGATTGAAGCAGCTCCTTACAGCAGTCTAGTAAAGTGGAAATTTCATATTTCCTCAGTAATGTTTGTTGTTGCACCCTTTGTGCTCATTCAAACTAAACATGACTCATTGATTTGGGTCATAAAAGCACACTTACTTTAAATTAGATCCTCACAGAAGGCTATTAGTGACAGAGAAATAGTCGCACGCGTTGGCATTCGTCCCATCGAGACAGCTCCACCATTCTTCTTGTTCGTGATCACTCTTATTCTTAAACAGAATTTTTATTGCAACATTGTAATTTCCTCAGATCTTTAACGTCTGGAGATTTTCATTTTGAATATATTTAATTCTTGATCCTCAACAGTTGTGTGCGTGAAGAAATTGCCAAGGGATGTGTTTGGGTGCGATGCTGTGAGGATCGGTGTGGACATGTTGGGCCGAAGGGCATGTTTCCACATTCTACGGATTCTATGATTCTTTTTTCGCTCTTTCAATGAAGAGCTTTCCTCCCATCCCAATGCTAAATGGACTCTCCCTTATTCTGAATCTATGTCACCTGTATGTGGAACCACTAGCCAGGTGAAAGATTCTTTCTGCAATATTTGAGATGTCCATTTTAACTCGAGTACACAGATAGTGTGCCCACGTGAGTAATTGCAGAAAATTGTGATTGGAGCTAAGTTTCTTCAAGTTTTTATTGTCCTCCACTTGTAAGCTTTGGGCAAATCGTAATAACATAGGTCAGTGCATCAATACAAACGTCAACATATGTGCACTCAAACAGTTAATTGAGAATGAATGGAAATGCACTTTCACCTAAATACTGCAAAATCATAAATGAGTCACAGCGGCACATGCAGTCAGGAATTAGATATTCTTTTGGGAAGGAATGATCTGTTCCCACCGTATAAGTGGTAAAATTGGCTGTGTGGAACCAAAAGATGTGGATTGAATTAATTGAGTTTGGACAAAGTAGAGTCTCTGGGTTCTGGTGGCCCAGTGGTCATTCCCCACGTTCGAGCCAGGAGGCTTTAGGGCTCATGTCCTCCTCAACAGGTTAACTAGAAAGTATCTGGAGAGGAGCCTGTTGATGCAGACACAGCCGTGGAGACATTGAGAAATGCCGGAAGTACAAGATATGCGATATGTTTTCTGGGTCTGTAATGGCATAGTGGTAATATGACTGGAGTAGGAATTCGTAAAACCCAGGATCAAGATGTGAGGAGATGAGTTTGAAACTTAGGATGGGAGGTGATGCAATTTGAATTCGATAATAAATGTGAAGAAGAGCCTGGTGTGGCTCACATAGCACAGTGGAAGTGTCCCTACTCCAATGTCACGTCCAACATGATCCAGAGGAATGCCGTAACATTCCCTGAACAGGTTGATCAGAAAACATCTGAAGACGAGGCGTTCGATCTTATCCTTCCACCAATCCAATCTCAGTTTTCCCAAAACAGCATCATAGAATTATCTGTCCATCATGAACAAGACATTTCAATACCTCATCACTCACCTTCCTTTCTCACCATCTTTCAGGTTTTCTTGTTATTTGAAGAGGACGACAACAGGGCAGCCAAGTGTGGAATCTGATTTACAAAACGTTGTCTCAGGATATTCGCTGAGACATTGCGGGACACAATCCTGTAAGTAACAAAGATAAGATGTTGATTGAGAGAGTATTTTAGCTGACTTTTCTCCTCCCTAGAAGTGAATTGGAAATGGCAGAACAGTAAATAATCAGGCAGGTTGTCAGTAGAGAGACACAGCCACCTCCGCGATTACGTTCTGGGCTGAAATCTCCATGAATGACTGTCGTAATCTGTCACGAATTAAGCTCATTATCTGTTGATTAACAACCAGTTCAGGGCCTCAGCCCTCACTGCCTGAATGACCTTCCTTCTCTGTTGGTGTGAGTAATGACAGCTACTGCAATTGGAAAATGGGGCGGCCTGCCAGACATTTTGCGGGGTTCCTCCATTTGCCCCCATCTGTGTGAAATTGATGGCACAGCTTTAAGTTCGTGGAATGACTGCTTGAATGCACCCCCTGGTCTTGCCCTTGAAACCATGTGGTCCCTCAGACTGTGACTCCAACTTCTAGACCGTCCCCAAATCCATCACTGACCTGTCTGTTGGTGACGATCTTCATGGTCTGTGTTTAGGCAGCAGCCTGGGTCTTGAATGTGTCACAGTTGGTAGCCTGATGTGGGACATGATGTCTCAGCCACTTGACCTGGTTAGTCTAGAACCTTACAGTGCAGCCCTCTGATGCCCAATTTACAGTTGATGTGGCAGTTTTCCCATTGGTGGGCACATGAGGAGTTTGCTATTGACTGCATTGATGCCCCCTAAATCTTTGCTCTTGATATTAATTGAACGGCAATGCCATTTCCTTGCAATTTTTTTATTATTTTACTGATATATGTTTGCTTTGATTTGTATTTTAAAGCAAATCCCAAGGTTTTTTTTTACATTGGATATTGCACGGTTGCAGTGTATTTCGGGAGGACAGAAAGCAGGAATATGTGCAGGGCTACCTGCATTAGTTAAGCATGTTGCGAGCTCAACAGATATGAAGCACCTGTGTTCACGAGCCCAGGGTGTGCAAAAGGTTTAGGAAGAATTGGGAAATGTAAAAGACTAGAAATTACTTTTGTGAGTGATGTAGAAGCCGCACAATGCTAAAGATATGGTAGTGTGGAGGACAAAAACAGAAATGTTTGGAGCTTGTTAAAAGGGGTTGGAGATGACCACAGGAGACTTGTACCTACATGTTGGCTGGAAAAGTGAGAGGGACAGAGGATATCTTCTTGGGTGGACTGGAGTCAGGGAATACTAGACCTGTTAGTGTCCAATGAGTTCGGATTCATTAATGATCTCAAATTGAAGGTAGCAGAGATAGACCCTAGTTTGTAAAAATTGTTTGAATATTACAATCGGTTGAAGGGAGAGAGATACAAGAAAACTGAAATTGATAGAAAAATGCATGAGGTGGGGCAGCATGTGTGGAGAGAAATCAGAGTTCACGTTTTGGGTGCAGTGACCATTCTTGAGCATTTCTAGCTATTTCTGTCATTGTTTCTAATTTCCAGCGTCCGCAGTTTGATCGTTGTTGTGTTGTGGGAAAGAGAGTTGGGTTTGAGATGAGCTGAGTTCTGTAGTGCACGAATCAGAGAAGGTGAATATCCATGTGCCACAAGTACCTAATGAGGCTAAAAGAAAGCTGGCATTTAGCATGAGAGGAATGGAATACAATCATTAGCATGTCATTCCTGAGTGAGAAAGGCAGTGGTGAGAGGACAAGTGTAAGAATGTGTAACATGTAATGATAGGAAGGATGCAAATGGATTGGAAGCAGTTCAGAGAAGGTTTACTTAACAAATACCTGGAATGGGTGGGTTGTCTCATTGTTAATGTTGGACCAGTCAGGCTTGTATGCGATGGAGTTGAGAAGAATACAAGGTGAGTTGTGCAAAGTAACTGTGACATGTTATTGCCTGTGTGACTGAAATCCCGTGAGTTTGTGTCTGTGTGTGAAGAAGAGAAGATCTATGGGAGCCTGAAACAAACAGCATTCTGAGATGGAGTCATCTCATGCACATCATTCAACTGTATAACTGAACCATTGTCCTTTACAGATATTCTGGTTAGCTTGAATACAGCATTCAGATCAGTGTCTTACATTAAACATGCTTTTTAGGAAATGGTGAATGAAAAGACAAAGTTGCCTTGCATCTTTAACTGGCTGTGTGCTCACTCGACCTCAATTTTGAGATGTGATTTACTCGTCTTGTAAATGTTTGAGCCACCATGGAGTGTTAAACGTATGGACAGGTTAGAGCATGGAGGGAGAGTATTCAGCCTGTGTCTGTTTGTTTTGTTTCATGAGGGAATTGATGGACATGCCACAATGTCTGTTTAATTCTCTTGCTACACTCATATCCTCCCATTCATTTTGACATTGACAAATGTGTTTGGTCTCCACTCTGTACCTCTTCATTGTATTTTGTGTTACATTTTGTCTTGTCATTTGACAAACTGATTGATATTGTGAAACTTTTGAGGAAAAGAAACTTTGTGAGCCTAATGGTCTCTGAGGATGCTGCTTTGCTGACGACTCCCCTCCCAGCCCGGACATGAGGTCAAGCCGTACAGACAGGGAGGGAGGACAGAATAATCCGCAAGTGCAGAGCCGATTTCAGTGCCAGTTGAAAAAGCATCATCCCATCATTTAATGACCACAATCAAAAATATCTTACCAATGGGAGGAATGCAGAAAGGAAGCATGAGCATATGGTGTGGTTATATCGGAAGCGAAAACATTGATGATTTTCCTTCATTGTTCTTTTTTTCAGTTTAACCTATATTGAAGTTCTTGCCACTTGCTGTTGACTATAATGAGGAAAATGCCCCTTGATATATCCCAGTAGTTGGAGCATAGAGTACAGCGTCTGACTTTTGTTCCGTGGGTCATGTCACTTGTTTTCTGACAAAATATGTGCAAAAATTGTGATTTTAGATCGTCATGTTTCGCTTATGCCTGGAAATCCATGTTTATATCGCATGTTAAACTCAACATTTTGAGAAATGTGGCCCTGGTGCTCTCAGGATAATGAAGCCAATTTGATTGGGGCAGTGAAGCAATATTAAGAACATGTGACTCACATTCAAATAAGCTTTGTAAAAGATCACCTTGTTGATATTTGTTGCTGTTTTGCAGTAATTCATCAATTCTGTTTGGCATCATTTTCAGCCTGTTTTGAAACAGTTTATGATGGTTTGGACTTTCCGGGAAATGACATCCATCAGTCTGTGGTCGAGAATGAAGAGAGTTGTCAAAGAAAATGTACAGAGGAACCTGACTGCCAGTTTTTCACCTTTATAAAAGAAGAATTTCACAATGAACCACAGCGGTTAGTCA